TNNNANCTGGCTATCAGCTCGACCGAGCTCCGAGTCTCAGCAGGGGGAGGATGGGCCGACTCATCCCCTTTCGGGGGAGCGGTGGCGGCGGTAGCCCTCAATTCCGAAGATCGGACCGGGCTAGGTGCGCGCTCGGTCGAAGGACCGGCATCGCGTGCACTATCATCGGATAGATGGATGGACTCTCTCCTGGTCGTGCCGTCCGGCTGATCCATGTCGTCTCCAAGGAGGTCATCGTCATCCAGAAGCGTAAGATCAGTAATCTTAGGAGGCCTGCTGGAGGAAGGAACAGACTCCTTCTCTGCCTCAGGGGAAAGAATAGCAAAGTAAGAATGGTTGGCCTTGAAGGCCGTCTGTAGGGTCTGTCTAGGGAGAAAGCCCGTGGACTTGGGCTTGGGACCCACTAAGGCCAACTGCTTAGGCTGGGTAGGATGAGCATCCTTCCCAGTTTGGGCAGTATCAACAATCACAGCCTTGCCCTTATCCTTAGACCCCTTCGGGGTCTCGGGCTCGCGGAGAGGGCTTTTGCCCTTTCCCTTCGAGTCCCTCCGGCTGGTGGAGGGTCCCCGCTGAGTCGCGCGGTGGCGCTGCGGGATAGCGGGCCGTGGCTTATTGCCACTGATGTAGCAATCAGCCGCAACATGACCCACGTGGCTGCACGAGGTGCAGAACGCGGGGATCTTCTCATAGATCACCCGCTGAACCAGAGACTCCAAGCCCTGTTCAATCTCAATCTCATGAACAAGCTCAGCTCTCAGATCTATCTCGACGCAAAAACGCGCCACGTTAGCCCTCGTCTGGAGGGCCGTTGGGGCGTCAATACGAATCGGCTGCCCAATACACTTAGCTAGTGTAGTGATGGCAGCACGGTCATAAAGATGGGGTGGGAGGCCGGGAAGGCGGCACCACACGGGGACGACCGGCGCCTCCGTCTTCGGGTTAAACCCGGCATAATATTTGAACACCCTAGCTGGGCATCCACACAAATGGATGGAGGTCTTAAGCCAGACCTCGTTATAGTCCTCGGGCAGGTGAAAAGACACTAGAAGGTGGTTAAAATTATACCACTTCGAAGACACTCTACCCTTAAAACCCAATTTGCCTAATCCAGCAGATATATCTCGAGGTGCAGGGATAGCATATGAGAACTTAAAAACCAGGGTGTTAGCTAATTTACCTGCAAGGGCAACAGATTCGGCTTCGGTGTAGTGGGCCTTCACTTTGTTCCCCTCCGAGCGGATAATGGTCCCGCAAGCATGTTCGTAATTCCCGTCAAAGGTGAAATCCTTCGGTGTTGGTCGCGGTTTGCTCGAACCGGCCTCTCTTTTACCCGTGATGGCCTCGCGGAAAGATATCGGTCCATTGGAGGTACCCGTCGTCGATGGCCCTATCGGGGAAGGTCCGGAGATATGGGCCGCCATCGCGGTGTTTTGGCCCACATCCACAACATCATCTTTTTTCATATGCGTAATGTCTAGTGCAGAATTTCCGGCAGCCGGAATTGCAGCTCCGGTAGGTTGATTGGACTGAGGAGATGTGCTTGGACGGGGCCCGAGAATTCCGGCAAATGGCGCGTGGATGTTCCCGGATTTGTTGTCGGTGTATTTGGAACTCACGGTGGTAACTCCGGTGATGTTGCCGGCGCCGGCGCCGGTGCCGGCCGGTGGGTGTCCGGCGGTTGCTGGCTGTGAGCTGTCGGCAGCAGGCTGAGGGATGTCGGGTATGGGTTGGTTAATGGCGGCCTGTGGAGGTGACAAAGAAGTGGGCTGAATGAGAACGGGTCCAAACCCGTTGGATTGTGGTGTGAGATGATAGGTGAGGGTTGTCTTTGGCCCAAACGGAGGATGGGCCTGGGATTGAGAAGGAAGAGAAAAAGGATGTTGGGCTTTGAGTTGAGGTGAAATGGGCTTCTGAGCTGGCCCAGGCTTAATGAGCTGAGGGTTTGGTCGAACCATTCGTTCGCCTCCATGTGTGCAGTTCAGAGAAGGAGAAGAAGCCGATAACGGCAGAGAGCCAACTGGTACCTGACTGCAAATCGTTTTTCCGATCAAGAGCGGAGCTGAGGTTGATCGAGGGATGGCCGGACAGTAGCCTTTAATCTCTTTGCCGGAGGAGTCATCTCTTGAGATTTTTCGGTCGGGATTATCCAAATTTATGGGGCCAAGGGAGTTGTTGTTTGCGGTGTCCGAGCTCGAATCCCTAGCCAGCAGGGTCGCGAGAAGTTCCGTTGACTGGATGGCGTCGGAACCGACCGGGTCTTTTGTTCGCAGATTAGGGTCACGAGAAGCTCCGCTCGAGATTTTTGATATCTCATCTTCCTTGCGTGAATATTTGCCCATGAGCTGCACGAGATCTTGTTGGAATTCCGGGAGTTGAAGTAGTTTAGCATAGTCCGGCGAAGGAGCTGCCGGAGTTTGGGGGGGAGGTGGTTTGCTTAACGGTGAAGGAGCGGTTGGAGTTATCATTGCTGTGGGCGGTTGAAAACACCCGACGGCCAAAAGGCCGGTGAGGCCGCCGGCGGCGGCGGCCGGAGGGACGACTAGTCGAGACTGGTGGTTGATGGTGGAGGGAGGTGGTGGTTGGTGGCGGCGAAGGGTGGGAAAATCTTTCTTGCTGCTAGGTTAGTTGTGTTTTGTTGCTAGGTTAGTTGTCTGATGCTGCTAAGTAAGTTGTGTTTTGTTGCTAGGTTAGTTGTCTGATGTTGCTAAGTTAGTTGTATTTTTTTTTTATAAAAAAATTGTAACCAATAGGATTTGAACCTGGTACCTCATGGACGCAAGACAAGCAATGCAACCACTACACTACTTAAGGTTGAGTGTCGTTTGTTGCTAGGTTATTTATTTTAATACAACAGGTCAACGCCGGAAGTCAACGGTTCTCGCCGGAAGTCAACGCCGGAGTCAACGATCAACGTCGGAGTCAACGGTCAACGCCGGAGTCAACAGTCAACGCCGGAGTCAACGGTCAACGCTGGAGTCAACGGTCAACTATTTTATTATTTAATTAATGTATATTTTAATTGATTTTGATCTAGACTAAATGAGTGGCTAAAATTGAGTCTCACGTACTCATTTTAAGGAGTGGTCTCATTGGATCCCTTGATATATATATATATATATATATATATATATCAATATCAAGTAATTTCATGAGGAATAATATGGTGTAAATTAAGTTGGGGCATGATAAGAATAAAAATTTTTCAGCATAAAAAGGAAAAATACAGAAAGCAAAAGATAGAAATTGAAAATTTTTATTTTACGGTAAGCGTTCGTTTTAAGTCAGAATTTGGTTCCGTAAATTCTATATTTTTCATTAAGTCACGAATTTTATCATGGAAATTAGATTAGGATCGCATGATGGGCCTTTCTAAGCATTGACTTTAGATTGGAGAAGTTTACAAGTTATGAATTCAATTTATTATCTCTATTTATTTTATAAAAAAATTTCTAAGCATTTCTAAGTAATAAATGAGCTATTTTAGCTGAATTTCGAGCCATATTAAGGTCTAGTCAAATGGAGTAGTTTTTTCTTGATATATACAAAAGAAATCATGCATTACAAGTACTTTTCAAAGCTTACTCACATTTGTGCAAGATTTTAGACAAACAGAAATGATAAGGGCCCTAAGATGTTGTTTATGGTAGAGTGTGGATGTAAAGAAGTTGATTCCTTTGCTACCCTATATAAATGGGCATCAGCATAGACTCAAAATTCATACCATAATAAGCAAAGTTTAGCTATAGAGTGAGGAAGATAAACCGAGAGAAATATTGCCGAAGATAGGTTGAGATCAACTTCCAGAGTTTCATTTTCAAATTTCTTGAAGGAGGTTAGATGCTACCTTTTTATCATGTGTTGTATTTGAGATTAAGTGTATCATGATGTATTTATATGTCATATATATTAAGTTTTTATGAAATTTTAGGCATGAAAAATGATTAGTTGTTTCCAGCTCAATTACATGTTATATATGTCCTGTTTTGATTTGAATTTTAGCATGATATGAATAAAATGGGAAAGTGCACTTTATATGGTTATTTCTTGTGTAAATGATGAGTACATAGGAACAAGAATTATGACATTTGGTTAAGTATAGCTCGAATTATAGATTTTTAAAGTTTATCATGCAAATCGAGTTTTTATGTCAAATTTCAGTTGCTTATTTTAAACTCGAATAAGTCAATATATGTGCATGAAAAAAATGTGAAATTTTAATGAAATGTATATCTTATTTTGAGAGTTTACCTGTCAAATTTCAGAATTTTATGTTGAGAAATGAAGGAGTTAAAAATGTAAGACCCCATGTCTGTCAGGTTGATTTTATATGCGATAGAACTCACTCCACATTCAAGCTTTTTATATGAAACTTTTAGGAATATTTCTTATATGAGCATTTGTCAAGATGACCAAGTTTCATCTTGATATGAGAAGTATGTGAATTTATAAAATTCTTTAAAGTTAAGCGTAAAATTAGCATAATTATATGTTAATTTTAGTATTTGGGTGGATTGAGCTATTGAAGTGCTTTTGAGTAAAAATTTGATTAGAGAGTATATGAATATATCTACTATTTAACTATCAAGTTTCATAATTTTTAGAGTTATATGTGATTTTTGAAAAAAAAAACAAAATACTTAGATATAATTGTTTGTATATGTTGGTAGTTGTGGAGAGTCGAGCCTCCAACAGCTACATCAATTATTCAGCACTTACAAAGTCTTTTCAACATATCAGGTGGGGGACCTGCACTGGGTATTACATCACTTATAATTTTGTACTATGTATGAGGTATGTATGTAGATAATTTTACCCGAACGATGGAGTTATTCCGTTCGTGGTCCTGTTTAAGATGACTCAGTCTTGTATGGAAGTTTCCATCTTGAGTCACTCGCCCAGTAAAGACTGGGTTTCTGGGGAGGCGACCCCCAGAATATGATCATGTGAGAACCAGAAAGTTATCGGTAGTTGCATCAGTAAAGTTAAGAGCAGTTTTATTTATGTATATACTTAATTCATGATATTGGATTATATGTGCTGTTTATTCAGTGTTGGTTTCTACGGAGCATAGTGGTTTTGCTCACGCCCCCATTATGTTTTTCCAGGTGATGGAGTTCAGCATGGAGCGTGAGCCGAGCAGTGGTGTGGTGATGTTCGAATAAAGCTGTATATTTATTATGTTTGTGTTTAAGTTGGTTTTTATTAAAATATATACGACTATATGTTAATTACGTTTCTGTACGGATAAACCAGAACCAGTAAATATGTATGTATAATTATTCCTTATCCATATTCTCCAGCTAAAATTTTATATATTGATTTGGATACATTCATGAGTAAAAGAAATAAAGAGTAAGAAGTTAAGCCAGTAAGTAACATCCCGAAAAGTTAAGTTTCAGTATTTTCCTATAAGTATATTTTGCAAACAATCGCGAAAATTTAACCATTTTTTCGTGATTCAAAGTTAGAAAAGGCGAGGTGTTACAGATTGAGTCTCATGTCCTCATTTTAAGAATGTGTTCTCATTGGAACCAATCCCTATATATATATAAATATATATATATATATATATATATATATGTATATATATAGGGTCACGCTCCGGTGAGAATGATTTTCAGCGAAAGAAATAAGAATATATCGCATACATTAGATCGCATGATCCAACGATTTATAAAAAAGCCAAACATATACCTTCATTAACGGCATTGTGGTAATTTTTCGCACCACTCAAACATATTAGCCCTACTACACATTAAATACGTACCTGCCACCAAACCCACCTACCACTCAAACCATCACACCACCCTACCCGACCCCACCACACCCCACCCCACCCTACCCTAGCATTCCCTCTCTCTCACACAATAACACCTACACACAGTAACATCTCACGCACACAAAAAAATCACACACACCGCACACACACAGACGGCGCACAAATCACAGTCACGACAGTCATCGTCGGAGCACCGCCGCATCGATACCGCCTCCGCCTGAGGATCCCCGCCGCCAACGGAGCATCTCAGTCGCCGCCGGAGCATCCCTGCCACCATCGGAGCACCACACGCTCTGTCTCTATCCATGCCAGCGATTCATCTGGTGTTTTCCTGCCGGCGACCTTCTGCTCCGCCACCAACGCCGGTGCATCCCCGCCGCCTATGGCGGAGCATCCTTGCAGCCGTCGAGCACCCCATGTTCTGACTATCTGTAGCAAAAAACATAGCCCACCTTTCCATTCTCCCAGCCGCCGACAGCTGTCTCTGGTTGCACTCACTTCGCGGTGGCCACGGCGGCTCTATTTTTCTCGACGTGTCCCGATTCTCAAGCCGTTGACTCCGTTGCCGGCGTTGATGAGGGGCGACAACCCGTCTAAATTCATTGTCCTGTTGGGGCTGGAGACAGCTGAAAAAACGATTTGGGGGAAGGAGTTTATTTGGGAAATTTGATATGTCATAAGGACCATTTTGCAATTTTAAAAGTTTTTTATAATTACACATTAAACCATGGGGTCAATCTGTTAATTCAAAATTTTTTATTTATATTACTATTTAGTACTTGGGTCAACTTGTAATTTACATAAAATATATAAAAACATATTGTCTTTTATATAGTCCTTATACATATATAATTTATGTATTTTAAATCAAAAATAATATTAGTATTAAATAAAAATACTAAAATATATAATATATTTTTATAATATAAATAATAAATTAATTTTAACCAACCAAATAACCAAATTATTGTAGTTCAAATAAAATAAAAAAATTACCCACCACATATACACAATATATTATTTAGATGCACAACAGTGGATATCAGATTGCACAATAATGATCGATCAAATGCACAATAATGAATTTGATAATGCACATTAGTATAACAAAATATTCCACATAACGACATCGCATGACAAAATAATAATAATAATAATAATATTGTTATGCTAGTGTGTATTTTTTTCATAGATATTAAAAATTTCTGGTAGTTGGTTCATATTTGTTTTAATTAAAAGATATAAATAAAGTAATAAAAAAATGAACTAAGAGAATCAACCAAACTATATAAAAATATTATTCTTTATATTTTATCTATATACGTATATTATTTATTTTCAAAAAATAATGAAATAAAATGTTAAATAAAAATCGTGATAATAAATATATGTTTTATTATATAAATAATATGATAATTGCAAAATAATGTTGATTGGAATACACACTATGAGAATGCACATAAAAGTAGTCACTTTATAGTGTGCACAATAATGCTAAAGTGAATGTACACTAATGCTAGACGGATTGCACGTTAGTGAGCATCAGGATGCACATTATCGAACGACATATAAATTTCGAGTTGATTATATTTTTATGTGTCGCGAGTGCACAATACTATCTGTTAAGTTGCACAAAAATTACTACCAAATTGCACAATAGCAACTAAACTTGTTTGGACTAAAATAATTGAATCGAATTTTTAAAATTATGAACCAATTGAACCAACAATTATTTACAATTATTAGTTATGTATCTTTGTAAAATTATAACGAGATTTATAATGTGCTTGAGAATACAAAATATTGTGCATCTACGCATTATTAATGTGCACTATATTGCACTTTTAATAAAATAGAATCAACCAGATATTAACATACAACATAGTAAATTCTATAATTGCACCAAAGTCCCTCTAAAGTGTCTAATTTCCAATAAGTTACCACACACAAAAAAAAAAAAAGAAAAACAAAATACAGTCACTGTACCGTACTTTATTCACGCTTCCGTATGGCCAACCCAGACTAGTATGTATGCACGCTTTATTTTCCCTTATCCGTATTTTCACCAGTCGAAACATATATGTCGATTTGGGTATGTGCATAAGTAACAGAAAAAGAGAAGTAAGTCAGTAAGTAAATAGCATCCCGCAAGTTAGTAAGTTTAAACGTTTTTCGAAAACAGTATAAGTATATTTCGAAAACAGTCGCAAAAATTTTACCCAGTTTTTCGTGAGTCAAAGTTATAGTAGGCGGGGTGTTACAAACCGAGTTTGGCAAGGCTAAGACCCGAACCATCTCAAAATCGTGAGAAGATAAGGCTAATAACCGAGTTGTCCACACTTATCATCGAGAAGAAGCCTTGGCAAAGCTTAGTTCGAGATAAACGAGTTGAGGAGATACACGATTATTCATCAACGGGCCCCACCACCAAGGACGTACAATCCTGATTACCTTAGGATCAGGACAGTTAGAGGAATTCATATGACAGCGTGCGAGCCCCGCCACCGAGGACGTACAAACAAATATGATGACCTTAGGATCGAGAAATGGGTTTACTTAGAATGAGATAAATTTTATAAATTCCTCACGGGGTCCCTGATTTTTATTGCATGGCCAAAAGGACACCGACTATTAGTTTCATTTTCCATAAATTGGGTTTTGGCTTATGGACATAATGGGTTCTTAAGAAGCCCTTCTCTTGCGAATGTTGAGTGCGTAAGGCGACCCACGTAGCACTCTCGATGTTTGGGACGTTGGTGAATTTAAGTTAATGTTGTTTTGAGGATACCAACGTTAACAGTTAAATTCAAAATGTTTAATTAGTAATATTATTTCGTGATTCTCTAGTTATTCAAACATGGCTTTCAATCTGTTGTCCTTTATTTTCAAAGATAATTTACGTGTTCGAAATTGATTAGAAATAGAATTTGGATAGTGTCCTAAGTTGCTGGAAGTACGAGCCGCAGGGCGAGTGTATCCAGTTTAAGCAAAAGGACATAGGAAGTCGAATTAACATATCCTTAAAATAATAAAGGTAAATCTTATTCACTCAGAAGTCGAGACTTTAAGAGGAAAAAGGAATCGACTGAGTGATAAGTGGATTACCATCTAAAATGGGAAATGCTACGAAAGTGGCAACTATTGCAGTGAGAGTTTTCTATATATAGAATTATTTGGTTTTGAGTAATCATCTTTGTGTACCAAGTTTTAGAAAGAATTCAATTTCAGTTTCTAAATTCTGTATGGAAATAATGTTTTGTTTGATGGCAAGTTTGCTATCTAGAAAATGAAACGTTTATTCATTTGGTACGTGGGTAGATAATTAGTTGACTCAAGTAACCAAAAGGTCTCACAGTGCAAATGGAAGTAACTGACACATCTACTAAAATCAATAAGAGACGAGGTCTCTTGGGCACATTGGTTAAGTCAATGATGAGTTACTAGGATCTTCCAATTTTTCGTTTTTTGGGGTTATGCAGATAATGGCGTAGGTTCTGAGCAAAGTTCGATCTGAAAGTCGGTTGTTTGTGGGATACTCCATAATAACAAAATAGATGCTTTACAGTACTAAGAATCAGATGGTGATCGTTAAAACAAATGCCTGATTTTTACAGGAATACTGAGTGATAAACCAAAGGCCCATTTGTAGAGTTGTCATAAGGAAAGATAAAGGTGAATGTTCAAACTTCATTACCGCGTGTATAAATTGCTATACCACAATAAGACTGCAAACATGTGTCTCTAGTAATACACCTTTGTCGGAAGTACTTTGTAGTAGTGGGAGCGTTGCAAAGCGACTATCATACATTTGTGTTACTGAGAGAGTCGTGGATTCAATCTGTAGTAAACACGAAGTTGTGAGTTCATGTTCTTAAGAAAAGTCATTGGACTTAGTCTCTAGTGAATGTGAAATAAATCCCTAGTTATACGATAAGGAGGATTGTAGTAGGAGTGTTGCAAGGCAACTGCCATAGATTCGTGGTTAATGAGAGAGTTTTTAGACTCAGTCTCTGGTAAGCACGAAAGTATGAATTCACATTCTTGAGAGAAGTCTTTGGACTTAGTCTCTGGTGAACGTGAAGCTAATCCCTGTTTATAAAATGAGAAGTCCCGAGACAGTAGACGCATGAACTTAGCAAACAAAAATGATTTCCGATATAGGGTTTTTGACTCTAATCGGATCTAGGATCTTGTAGAACCACTAAGTGGCATGACGCCATTGGGGTGGGTCTACGAGTAAATTCGTGTAGACTTCCACAAGTAGGCTTGTTGTGAAATAATGAACTCAGAAAGAAGTTAGATCTATTATGCGTTAACCTTTTCACCAGTAGCCATACTTGAGTCCATATGAATTTTAGGCTGAGACCACTCATATGTAATATGAAGTTAGCATCGTAGATATCAAGACGAGGTCTTGAAAGGAGATCCATGAAAAAGCACTCAGACAGGTTCATTGTAGATCGCTAAGAGCATCTAATCAGTAAACTGAAATGGTCTATTTGTTGACTGGAGTAAGTGTAACACCCCGCTTATCAGAGTAAATTTTTCACAACTTTTACTTCGAAAATACTTATAAATCTTTCGAAATCTATTGCGACTAACTCGGGATGCTACTCAAACTCATCTTCTTGAAAATCTATTTATCTTTAAACTTTTGTCTAATACTTCTTTAGACATAAAGAAAACAGATTTCCTTTAAACTTGCATTTAACGGTACCATATTCATACTTCTCAAAATGGTAAAAACTTGAAGTCTGAAATGCAAGTTCAATACTTAATGTGCATAGCGGAAATACTTAAAAACGTGGTTTATTATACAGACATATCAAATACTTAATAAATGTCCACTTGAAATAAGTGCACGACCACCACCACCACTGCTCAGCTCACACCTCCGTCCCGAACCTGTTTCCTGAAAAACACAATGGGGGTGAGTATTGATCCTCTTGTACCCCGAAAAACACCCATACTAAAGTAAACAGCAATAATAATACAATATCAAGATCTTTGGTATATATATCTTGACTGGAAATCTGTTCCAGTAAATGAAACTTTACTCTTTCTCTTTCTGATATCTGATCGGATACTTGTGCACAATCTGATGGATATTTCTTAAGGCAACTTGGGGCCTCCATCAGAACTTAGGATGTACTTGTAAGGCAACTTGGGGCCTTCATCCCAAGCGTAAAAACTTAAACTTTATACATACCTCGGACATGATATCAATATTATACTCAATTTAATACCCAGTCTGGGTCCCCACCTTTCTTCTTTTGAAAACATTTGAAAAATGTAAGTGTTGCTCTTGGGTAGCTATATCTGCAAGCTACATAAAAATATAAACAAATATACTAAGTACTATGCTCGTATACTCAATAAGATTTTTAGAATTATTAACTTATCCAAATCTTATAGAAATTCATTAAATTTGCTTTTTCTCAAGTTTATACTTAACTTCTC